CACTTGTCTCAGAGGTAGACCGGACCAGCAGTAGTCTGTCTCACAGTGCCTGAACCACGTTATTGTCCCAATTGCCTAGCCCTCTCTGCAATGCTACCGCCTCCGTGGTGTAGTGGTTAGAGCGTCCGCCCGGAAAGCGGAAGGTCGCGGGTTCGATCCCCGACCGCGTCATACCAAAAGACGTTAAAATATGGTACTTGTTGGTCCCTGCCTGGCGCTCGGCATTAATGGGTACAACAAGGACTGGTCGGCTCGGAGTCAGTATAATGTGTCTGAGTGGGGTATTCATGCTTCACTGCGGCATGGTATCTCAGTGAGCTAGCACTATAAAACCAGCTTTAGTCTGGGCTAGTACAAGCAGCCCACATACACATACACACGCATGCACGTCGTCATATTAGCGAAATATTCTCAAGCACGACGTTAAACCCAATTTCACCTCACCTCTCTGCAATGCTAAAGCCTAAATGAAGCAAGTCTAGATTTCGCCATCTCCCAACTCACTGGGGCTCCTTTACAATTTAAATGGGTTTATTTATTACTATCAAGATTAGATATATTCAGGGACTAAACGTTTGTCTACTCCCGAGACAATCCTGTTACCAGTCAGCAGAGACGGGGTGGGAGGGTCGGGGGCGTGACAGATCCCGTCCTCCCGGACACTCGTGGTCAGCTAGACTAACAACTAGTCTCTGAAATGAACATTTTTTACTGAAAAAAAGTTCATAGTAATAAAAAAATATATAATTAAAAGGAGCCCTGAGACTGAAGCTGAGGAAATCTAGACTTGTCACATTTTCTAGACTTGCGTGGACTTTCTTGGATATATTTGCTTCAGGGTCTGTACGACAGACTAGTGGTCAGCCTTTTCGTATTTAAATCAGTCAGAAGGTACAAAGTAGCTAACATTAGGTAATTATTATTGTCAACATTGCCACAGCTGGTGTTGTCTCCGTGGAAGAACTGTCATCGTATCATGGCGAGGAGATATGTGTCTTGCAGAGGGCATTTGGACCTTCGAAACTTCTGCCATCAATCACGTGTGAAACAAAAGCTAATTCTTCAACGATAATAGGCAATACTCCGAACCAAAATAGTCTTCAGGAAGCAATGACGTCTTCAGTGCTTCTGTGGTGCTGTTAAGCCATACATTATTGCCTCAGTCAGACCAAACATCCTCATTTAAACCGAAAACAGATAAACCTTTTATTGTATTGTATTACAGTCAACCGCAAGTTATGAAACCAAGCTCGTGGATTTTTTACAGACTTTCTACTGAATTTAAGGTTGAGCATTTATCAGATGTATTCGGGTTTTTTGTATTACATTTTATAGTTGTTGTTTTTTTACTTGAAAGATTAAGATGAATTCCAAGATTGTGTAAATGATTACAAAAGATAATTCACCAGGAAGGATATATTATATGAACATAGGTGAAATGAGATGATGTCCATGTGTTTGATATGTGGATCAAAGATGAGTTACCGGCCCTTACTACCCAGAATGAGTGAGTGAGTTTAGTTTTACGCCGCACTCAGCAATATTACAGCTATGTGGTGGCGGTCTGTAAGTAATCGTGTCTGGACCAGACAATCCAGTGATCAACAGCATAAGCATCGATCTGCGCAATTGGGAACCGATGACATCTGTCAACCAAGCCAGCGAGCCTGACCACCCAATCCCGTTAGTCTCCTCTTACGACAAGCATGGGTTAATGAAGGTTCATTTTAACCCGGACCATCACGGGTTTACCCAGAATGAAGAACGGATGTGGTGGGCGCTGGGGCCTTGACCTTATAGTGATGGAGGTTTGGTACAGACTGTAGGTCAAGGTCGATTGCTGCAGCAATAACCTTCCACACAAGAGTATAACTAGTCTGTCTCACTGTCCCTGAACCACATTATTGTCCCTACAGCCTAGCCTTCCCTGTAGTGCTAAAGCCCTAAACGAAGCAAGTCTAGATTTCCCCAGGTTCTGAATCTCTGGTCTCCCTATGGCTCCTTTTCAATTTAAATGGGCTTGTTTGTTACTATCAAAATTACAGTCAAATCCCGATGAGTCGAATGCCGGTGTCTCGAATATTATGCATAACTCGAAGTACCTGTCGGTATATATATTCAGAGACTAAGCCTTAGTCTAGAGTATAACCCGAGACCAGATAGTTGTTCTTCGGATAGATCTAAATCCAGGCCACAATCACGGTCCGAATCTGTCGCAGTACTTGTCCTATGTGAGGGAAAACGGAGAGGATAGGTTTCATATGAGTGCGATAAACCACAAACGGAAAACCTCCCTAAATCGAACACATGATCGTGGAATACATTTTGTCGAGTTATCGGATATTCGAGAGTTTTTTATCTCTTTTGTGCGGGTTTTTACCGTACGATACAGTAACATCGTATTAAATGATACATCGAGATAACTACCCTGAAGTAAATATATCCAAGAAGGCCCACGCAAGTCTAGAAAATGTGGCAAGTCTAGATTTCCAAAGGTTCTGAAAATGAAGAAAGTCTCAGGACTCCTTTTCATTATATTTTATTTTTTTACTACGAACTTTTTTCTGTAAAATATGTTCATTTCAGAGACTAGTTGTTAGTCTACGAGATAACCAGATTCATATTAACCGAGTTTCGCTGCAAAATATTGTTTGGCAGGATTAAATCTGAGGGATTAACTTTACAAGTTCATGGTATGCAAGGGACGGTGGGGTAGCCCAGCGGTTGAAGCGTTCGCTCGTCACGCCGAAGACCCGGGTTCGATTCCAAACATGGGTACTATGTGTGAAGACAATTTCTGGTGTTCCCCGCCGTGATATAGCTGGAATATTGCTAATAGCGGCGTAAAACTTAACTCACTCTCTCACTCACTCATGGTATGCAATGGCTTATCGTATTTTGAATGAATGTGAAATCTATGAATGTGGGTTCGAATCCCGGTTTCTAGGTTTGTCAGCACCGTACTGTGGCTCATGGGTTTCATGTGGTAAACATTTAGACCTACATCACTTCGGGCTTTCCTTCCAAATCAAGCAGACCCTCCGTAATAAACTAAAACAATATTCAAAGCGGCGTTAAACCCAACTCTCACTCACTCACTCACTCACGACCTGTGAAGATCCGGTTTGAATTTATCTTCAGTCACCCATGCTTGTGATAACGACTAAAGGGATCGGGTGGTCAGGCTCGCTGACTTGGTTGACACCTGCCTGTATCCCAATTGCGTAGATCGGTGCTCATGCTGTTGATCACTGGATTGTCTGGTCCAGACTCGATTATTTACAGACCGCCGCCATATAGCTGGAATATTGCTGAGTGCGGAGTCGAATAACTAACTAACCAAATCACTCACTCACTCACTGAAGGTTGACCAATAGGATTGAATACTATTCATCAAATATTCCGCACTTTCGTTTCTTCGTGCTATGTCATCAACGTACTTCCCATTGCAGCAACATTCTAGATCATTTGACTGCACTAACATGTGAGATAATTCAAGCGTAAATTATATTCATACAGTCCATTTGGAAAATGATTCTAAATGCTGCCGGTTCGGTTTAAAGGGGGATTTGTTGCCATCAACGTGACCCAAAAGCTGACCACGAGATTGAAGATCAAGCGGACTTACGCTAATGTGCAGCTCTTGATTGTACAAGTACCACACAGTGTTTGACGTGACCCGAGCGTGTTTGAAGGATCAATGGCCATTAAAGATTGGTTTTCTGGCCACGATAAGGGGAAATACAAGCAAGTAATGTGATAATCAGGATAATTGCCAGTCCCGACATCAGCATATATTGCCCAGCTGGCGAGCCGGATCAGCAAGTGGGACCTTTCTCGGCGCAACCAGCAAAACACATGCTAATTAGCACCATGTAATAAGATTAGGCTATAATTATTACAAACTAAGTGTACGTTTTGTTATCGGGAAGCGCTTAGGTCACAAACGGCTCTCGCCGACTGCTGACTTTGAAACCCTAAATGAGTGATACGGACATGTTATTTTTTAAAAACATGGCATGTATAGATAAATCATAGCTTTTTCATTTCTGGGTGTAGGTGTGTGTAATGAAGGGTGGTTATATAAGCGATACGGTAAGTAAACTACAGGGACACTTATCAGCAATTACCATTGAATAATGTATCGTACATGTGTCGCGTTAGGTTTCGCGTGTCAACACCGCCGACCTTATTAGTAATGGTAACCCCTAACGACCTCGTTGAAATGGATGTCCGAGCTTCGCAAGTCAAACAAACCCTGCAGAGGTTACGAGTTTGGATTTCTGGAAAACGTCTTTGTGTGCATTTCTTAGGAATCATTTTAGGAATACTTTTAGAGCTGTGTTAACATTTTCATATTGTGTTTTATAATGATGAAAGATGTAAATCGTGGTCGAGATTCTGTCGAGAGAGTTCGACATATGCAGCAACTCAAAAATGTAGTTTGAAGGGCCACCTGGTTAGAATTGTCCTTAGCAGCTCATGTTTGCCGTAATAGGCGACTATCGGGATTGGGTGGACAGGCTCATTGTATCTCAGTCGCGTAGACAGATGCTCATGATGTCAGTCACTGGATTGTCTGGACCAGACTGGATTATTTACAGACCGCCGTCATAGAGCTTGACTATTGCTGAGTGCGGTGTTAAACAACAAACAGTTTAATTAACTGGAATTTTGGCTCGATCAAACATCCATTGTCAGCAAATGTAATTCAAAACACACTTTGAATATTACATTTTAATGACCCATATGAATTGGGCAGTTAAATACCCGAATTTCATAGAGACAATGTTTCCGTCTTAAATGACCTTTATCATATGTACCTAATCTTGAAATGTGTTCAAGGCCACTGACCATCGTCATCCTTAAAGCGGCGTAAAATAGATTCAGTCTCCTTCCGTAGAAGTCTGTGCACCCAGTTAAAGAATATAATCCACTGTAATATAAGGCAATCAATGGTCTGGGCATTAAGTGTGTATCAACGAAGACAAAAGTCAAACTGTATGTTCGCCCTTATCGAGCGTAATACTTTATCTGGTCACAGTAACATTTGAACATAAACATAACAAAAGAATGATATACATAAAGTAACATTTGGAGAAAAAAAAACATACGCATGATGAACTGACCACTGATGTAAGTGCTCGCCATTACGGCGCTCTGAAGGTAGAACTGATATTTCACAGAACACAAACGCCCCGAACAGGAGAAAAACGCATGAACAATTTGATATGAGACTCGCAAAACCACTTCACACAGGTTTCACATATCTTCCCCCTTTAATCTGCATTCGAGAGGAAATGGAACAAATTTCTTGTTTTTATCAAAGATCTTTGAATATGGAACAGGAAAGCTAGGGCTTTTTCAATGGGACTCATTAAATTCAACCAGAGCTCCTTTGAAGTTTTACTTAGGCCCAGCTGACAATCTGGCTCCCGCCCTGTCTCCGTTTTGAACATTTGGAGATGTGTCCATGCACACTGTCACATGCTTTTATAATAGGGCCCTTATTCAGTATAACACAGCAGGGATATTTCAAGTAATTTGATACAAAAAACCAAACACTCACTCCAAAGAATTCTGTGATGAAGTGGTTTGAAAGTGCATAAATGCGAAACTCACACAAACCCAGAGTAATTTTTAAAGCTGGAGCAGTATTGCTCTTGGCGGTTTAAACACCTTGATGCATATTTCTGATAACAAAATTAAATTGAATATGTTGCTTATTTGCCAGTGAAGTTTTTCCCCCTTTTCTGCAAAATATCAGCTCTTCTCTATGATGAGTAATGAGAGACTAAGATAAAACAGTGCCTTAGTCGTGAAGTGGTGGCAATTCGCATGGACAAGAATCGGGATTTTAATAGGCAGTGCTGAAACAAACGGCGAGTGTTAAAAATCGATGTTGAGCAGAAATGTGGAGCTGGTGGAATAATTTGAACCTGCATGTCTGCGATTTTTAGTCCAATCTGGATAAAGAATATCTTTGATAATAATTAAACGACAATGATCGACAAAAATAACTAGACCTATATTCACAATCCTCCTATGATACGAAGATGGCGAAAACATCAAATATCCAAAATAATGTGAATAAGAAATACAACACTTGTTATTCGCTGCATACAGTTCTTATTTCGAAAATTCCAGATAAATAATTTGCTTCTTGTTAGGAATAACAACAGCTGGTGGAACAATTAGCACTATTAAAAGACATTGCAAGAATCTTTGTATATACATACGCGCGAACAGAACCGTAAAATTTGAATTACCTATGTTAAAATCAGTTGATCTGATATTTCAAACTAATTCAGCACTTGTGAAAACATCTTTAGTTTTAGTGTTCGTCAGATTATGACAAGTATAAAAAAGGTAGGTAAATATTGGCAAGGAATGGAACCGAGAAAGTCGGAGTTCTGTGAAACTACACACGGATTCTCGAGTTAATCTGAGCACATATAATTCCAATAACACCTCTTAGATTGTTATCCGTCGCATTCGGAGTTCTTTGGACACTTCTTTCACTTAGCAGATAAGACCAGTACTACTTAGAGAGTCGGCTGTATAAACATGATATCTGTGATCGCAACTCCATGACGACCATTCGCTGAAATGATATATATTGTAAACAGAACATTAGACGAGGGTGATAAAACAAACACTTCGTCCGCCTAAGTTCTGTAATGACTGTAATTTGTTAACTGGGTCTGTACGCGGCTGATAAACATGGCATCAACAGTTCTGAGAATGTGTTCTCGCTGGGTTATCGCGAGTGCCCTCCCCAAATAGCAGACGATCACACAACCACGGCCAGCTGGTTGAAACAGGGGGAGGGACCTGCTTTAGCGGTAGACAGGGCGGGCGCTATCAGCCGTGCTGGACTCCGCGGTATATCATGTATTTATGTAGAGCTGGGGATGTCGTCTGCTCGCCAGATGTACTGAGTGATGTCCGCCTCCCCCTCGGCTCTCACCTCCCCAGCAGTTCGGAGACTCGACGTGGAGGCAGGAAGCCCCTAAGCGAGTCCTTTTCTTTCCCGTTTTGCAGTTCCACGATTGTTCCTCCGCAAAAACGTTTGTCGTCTGCTCAGCCTTATGCCACCTGTTTTCATCCCATTGCTTTTCACTGACGTAATCGAAGACATCAGTTCATGAAATTTTAACAAGACCGAAACCGCTTGGGGATGCGGTGATCTACTTTCATTATGAACACTCGACGCCAGGTTACAGATGTAAGTAGCAGGTGGCCGGGGAACAAATGTTTGGGGAGTGGGGACCAACAGCTATTTAGACGCAACTCCGGCTGATTCAATAAAGATCACCATGAACGATGCCCTCTGCCACCTGTTAATACAGTCTCGCTCAAACTTCGAGCCTCTGAGATCTTTTACCCACAGAAAGTTGTTTCTCCAGATTTTATAGATTCCAGTTTCCATTTCCGAACACAGGTACCCAGTAATTATGCCAGGGAGTGTCCTATAATCATTGCTTACATCACATGAAACATAGTAATCCAAACAACGTAACAATATCACCAACAGCAAAATACTTATCACAGATTTCAACATGAAAGTGTGTATGTTCCTTCAATGCCTCCTGCGAGCTCGGCCTTCAGTCTGAATGGTCTGTGTGCACATATCCACGCAGTCCGAAAACGACATATCCCCGACGTCACGACAATACTCCACATCTGCCAGTCTTGTTAAAGCCAGTATGTAACTACACGCAATCCGTAGAATGGCTAATTTGGAAAGTTTTTGGTTATAGGAGTATGATGGTACCGCTTTCCTTAGAGCATCGAAAGCCGCACTGATAGTGTGAACACGTGATCTCTCCCTAGCATTTGCTTCCACCCGTCTCTCACGTGTCATATTTTTGTAATTCTTCCTCTGTTTTTTGCCACCCTTTTCATCCGGATCCTCCTCCGAACGACTTGATAAGTCATGTACCCCACCTGTTCCTGTTAACAGTTCCATTTGTTCGCGTGTAAATCCGTTAGGATAAGGTTCGGGTAATGTTCCCATGGCGTAATTAGAGAATCCAGGAATTAACGGAGAAGCCGTGATTGTCTTATTGATGTAGAGATTTGGCACAATACAGTTCGCACGCACGCCTGGTAGAAAGTGCACCCCGGCAGTTGGGGTGTCAACCCTCCCTAGAGAAGAATCATCATGATCTTGGAGAAAGGTGGGGTCGGGCGTCTGAGGGGGGTTTTCCTGCACCCCCTCGAAGTCTTCACTGCACCCCGAATCGGACATTGCACTTCCTGGACTGTCAGGACAGAATCTTTTTATACTGAAGTCAGTCCTCTTCCTTGGCTCACTCAACTTTCGCTTATTCTTCCTCGGAGTTTCCGTAGGGGAGATGTCCTTTCCCTGGGTGGGGCCGTCCGGCGAGGGTGGGATAGAACCCCGCCCGAGGGACGGGGATGAGGGGGGCTGAGGCCCGCCCGAGTACTGCTTCCCTGCCATACCGCGATCACTACTAAGCAGTCTGCTTGTTCCCTGAGCCGCCGACCGAACCTGCCTGCTCACCGCTCTGTTTACACTGTCGGCCCGCCAGCTAGTCGGCCAGATGTTAAATGTTAAAGAATTCCTTGGATGCGTGTTATTTATTGACTAATCTCATTCAGATGGCTATCTTTCATAGCGGCAATTGAGGCGGGATAAAAATAACCTTTCCGCCTGCTCGGCCGGCACTGGCTCTCAGCAGTCCACAGGGTCGGATTTGTGAGCTAGCCGCCCCAATACAATCCTCGTACAGCCTGTAGCCCAATCTTTGCCGTGTCGTCGGACCAGATATGATTATAATATGAAAATTGGGAGGCTGGTGTTTTTATTCGACTTTTATACAGCCTCATAATACAACCCGAGCGCCAGGTGGTTGCTTACCACCATTTTACACTGCTGGGCTTGTTCTAGGCCTAACTCAATATGTGATCTAATGCTTGAGTGGCGCGCCTGGTCCATTCTATTCAACGGGGGTTGCAGGTTATGGCTTCGCCTGCTGAAACACCTGTTCGCCTGTTAATGACCTATTCAGACCTGCCCTAGCGAGCGAGATTTACGCTCAGCGCTGGGACGGCGGTCTCGCACAGCTAGGAAACTTCAAGCCCTCTTACCTCCCAGCAGATAATGGCATAATCAACAGGGACCGAGGTTTGACAATTTGCCAGATTTTCACATAACATCTGTCCAGGAGCGAACGTACTAGATGTGGCAAAGCGTCAACTATTTTAATTAAATGGGCTCCTACTTCTCAGCTGCGCGTTAAGCGGGCGACTTCATCAGTCATCGGGGAGATTCGGGACACAAACTGAAAAACAAAGAAGTTATAAAAAAATTGTGTAAACAATTGACGGGCGAAGACGGTGGCCGGTGAGAATTGTGTGTGTGCGATATGCCCGTCTGTTAGCCCAGGTGGCCTGTACTCCCCCCAAGGCGGTGGGGGAGGGACTTAGAAGGAAGGGTGGTGTCGGGGGAGTGTGTGAATTCATTCGGCGATTACATGTGCAATTCTTCTCTTATTACATACAGCATACAAGAAACGCAACATTAAACTACAATCTAAAAACTCCTGAGGAAATATTCTACATAGGAAAAAATGCTTCCTTTTTGTTAAAAAACGAGCGCTCTGTCTCTTGACAACTTACTTAGCTGAACAGGGCAATTACATTTAAATATTGATATAATATTTCGGTATTTCTGAATGCCAAAAAAGCCGAATAACTATGCCACTAAAATACTCCTATTTATACTACTATACTATATAGTCAATATAGTCGACAGAGGTCCTTAAAACCTTTGCAGCATACCTGTTCGTCTTTAGTGAATTTTGAAATACCGAAATAACATATCGAAATAGCAATATGAAAGCATCCTGTTGTCCTCCACTTCTTTTGAGTTCATGAAAGGTTAATTACAGTAATATGAAAGAATTTGTCTATACGTTTTACTCCAGTATAAACACGGAACTGTGACATTATTACAAGTTACAACATTGAAAATCAGAACGATCTGCTGGTACAGCTGCTGGTTTGACGTACTTGTCCTCCTCCTGTTCCACTCAGGCCGATACTCAAGAGTGAGTGAGTTTAGTTTTACGCCGCAGTCAGCAATATTCCAGCTGTCTGGTGGCGATTAAAGTGTGCATCAACTGTATATCTTTTATATATTGGTATTTACGTGTATCATGAGTATCGGGACCCGTGAAGATCCGGGTTAGAATTGGTCTTTAGTGAGTGAGTGAGTTTTACGCCGCACTCAGCAATATTCCAGCTATATGGCGGGGTCTTTAGTAACCCATGCTTGTCGAAAGAGGCGAGTAACGGGATCGGGTGGTCAGGCTTCCTGACTTGGTTGACACATGTCATCGTAGATTGATGCTCATGCTGTTGATCACTGGATTGTCTGTTCCGGACTCGATCTGTGATCTCCACACCACAAATATCAACAATTATGACGCCGTAACGCTGTTGATTCTGAGCGAGGAAGGCAGTGGGGTAAAAGCTCTGGCTCGTCACGCCGAAGACCCTGGTTCGATTCCCTAGATGGGTACAATGTGTGAAGCCCAATACTGGCGTCTCTCTCCGTAACCACGGAGCGTTAGCCCTGAAAACAATATCGTTTAGGTACTGGTTAACGGGGTTTCACTGAAGCTATAAAAATGTGTTGTCGATACCATTTGTCTACGTTTTCTTTGTCTGGTTATAATTCCAAACAATACTCCAATTATATGACGGATGGATCATACAAATGATCGAGTCTGGACAAGACAATCCAGTGATTTACATCATGAGCATCGGTCGGCGCTATTGGGACGCAATGACATGTATCAACCAAATCGTTGAGCCTGAACACCCTGTGCCGTTAGTCGCCTTTTACGGATGGCAAATTGCCAAAGAATATCAAGCTATTTGGAAAGCATATTAGTTATTAGTAAGACCTGTACCATATACATTTATACACGGCTCTTCACCAAAGAATGCTATTAACACAAAAGCCTACTACACGCTCAGCTCAGTTGTACAGATTGGGTCAACGGGTTTAACATGTGACATAGTATGCTGAAGTGTGAACTATTTCAGCTGTACCATCACTTCTGGATAGTGGGGAGTCGAACCCGGGTATTCGGCGTGACGAGCGAACGCTTTAACCACTAGACTACCCACTGCCCCATCACGTCTGGAGCTGTGAAACCAATGACATGAGACACAACCTTCACCATCAGAGACACATATACAGGCCTCGGAATGTGATCTCCCTGTCCTCTTTGGTCTGGAGAGATGCACGGGGCACTGGCAGACTTACGCTTAGTCTCTGAATATATATAATTTTGACAGTAACAAATGATCCAATTTATATTGAACAGGAGCCCCAGAGTGATGGGGTATTCAGAACCTGAGGAAATCAAGACTCGCAGCATTTAGGGTAGACTAAGGATTAGTCTCTGAATATATATAATTTTGACAGTAACAAATGATCCAATTTATATTGAAAAGGAGCCCCGAGAGACGGGGTATTCAGAACCTGAGGAAATCTAGACTCGCAGCATTTAGGGCTTTAGCACTGCTACTGGGCTAGGAGGGCTATAGTCAGTGGGGAAAATATTGTGGTTCAGGGGCTGTGATACAGACTAGGGGCATTGGGAACATGCTCTGCCCTGGGATCTTCATGGTATTTACCATAGGTCCATCTATGTCACCAGTTACAGGGTTGTCGATAACCTTCGATCAAATCTGGCACAACCAGACTGGTCTCAAGGCACGAACGATACGGCGCCACAGTGCATCACCATTGAGCTCACAAAACAAACACCGTGTTTGAAATAGCTGTAAGGGTCGGGTTAGGTTTTCACCATGACTGGAATATCTTGATATTTATTTTTCAACAAAAAGCATCTAAATGATATCCACTGGGCAAAACCAACCAGCAGTAAACAAATCAAACCTATGCTACTGATATTGTCAGATTTATTATGGTCGCTCAATAACACTGACTAATTTAGAACATTCAATAGTCTTCAGTTTTGAATTGGACTGACAGGTCTGTTTCTGAACGGCGTCGGTCATACCTGGACAGCGGTATCAGTCTGTACTGTTAAAAGGATCACATTTGATGCTTGCTGGTCTCGGCATGGTGTACCACAGGGATCTGTATTGGGCGCAATGTTGTCTATCAGTGCAACACACATTACCTGACTGACTGACTGACTGAGTATGGCTTTACGCCGATTTTAGCAATATTCCAGCAAAATCACGGCGGGGGACACCAGAAATGGGCTTCACACATTGTACCCACGTGGGGATTCGAACCCGGGTCTTCGGCGTGACGAGCCAACGCTTTAACCATTAGGCTACCCCACCGCCCAACACACATTACCTCTATAGGGCGACTAACGGGATCGTGTGGTCAAGCTCGCAGACATGGTTGACACATGTCATCGTATCCCAATTGCGAAGATCGATGCTCATGCTGTCGATCGCTGAATTGTCTGGTCCAGACTCGATTATTTACAAGCCGCCGCCATGTAGCTGGAATATTGCTGAGTGCGGCATAAAATTAAACTCACTCACTCACTATATTGGAACCCCCTCACTGACTCCCAGTTGCCGCAATAACTGAGTGCAAAGAACTCACTCTTGTATACAGTCGTTACAATGGATCTACACCACCGGAACCACACTATATATACGAGATGATAGCCTAGACATGGGCGCAGTGTTGCATCTTTTCATCACGATGAGGGGCGATGGGGTAGCCTAGTGGATAAAGCGTTCGCTCGTCAAGCTGAAGGCCCGGGTTCGATTCCCCATATGGGCACAATGTGTTAAGCCCATTTCTGGAGTCCCCCGCCGTGATGTTGCTGGAATATTGCTAAAAGCAGCGTAAAACCGTACTCACTCACTCACTCACTCACTCACTCACTCACTCACTCATCACGATGAGATCTGCTGATCGTGGGGTTTTCTTTCAGATTGTAGCAACGCCACTCACTCACTCACTCACTCACTCACTCACCTTATGCAAGGAAACACTATCGTTCAGGATTATAAGTCACTTACTTGGGTCTCGCCAAACTGCAGGTACGGTGTCTTTCTTGATAAGACAACTACTGCATCATGCTCCTTTTTATAGGTAAACGAGTCGTTTTCACACCAAACACCATGTGACAAACTACTGAACACCCAATGCAAACTGTTGGATCGCTCCTCGTGGATGTGCTAGACATTATGTGATCAACACCTGTTGAAAAATAGTTAACTGTCTAAGTAAATCAAAAACAAGAACAAACTTCAATGCCCGACAGAGATCAAAAACAAAACAACAATCGACGTAGAGAATAACACACGTGGTGCTGTGATTCCACAATGCCATTTAGAAAGTGGTCAAATCAAATGTAACATGTCATGTTTGGGATTACACTTTCTTAGTAAAGTATATATACAAGTACTTTTGTTGGGTTGAGTCCCATCCGGGATTTGAACCCACACCCTCAGAATCAGGCACCTAATCGCCAGCACACAAAGTCAGCCGCCTAACCCGCTCAGCCACCGCGACATCCACTATTAGCAGATGTAGATGTGCATGCAGAGGTAGCAGATGTAGTAGTGCATGGAGAGGTAGAGGATGCACATGTGCATGGAGAGGTAGCAGATGTAGATGTGCATGGAGAGGTAGCAGATGTAGGTGTACATGCAGAGGTAGCAGATGTAGATGTGCATGGAGAGGTAAGAGATGTAGATGTGCATGCAGAGGTAGCAGATGAAGTAGTGCATGCAGAGGTAGCAGATGTAGATGTGCATGGAGAGGTAGCAGATGTAGAAGTGCATGCAGAGGTAGCAGATGTAGATGTGCATGGAGAGGTAGCAGATGTAGTAGTGCATGCAGAGGTAGCAGATGTAGATATGCATGCAGAGGTAGAGGATGTACATGCGCATGGAGAGGTAGCAGATGTAGATGTGCATGGAGAGGTAGCAGATGTAGATGTGCATGCAGAGGTAGAGGATGTACAGTGCATGGAGAAGAAGCAGATGTAGTAGTGCTTGCAGAGGTAGCGGATGTAGATGTGCATGCAGAGGTAGACAATGTACATGTGCATGGAGAAGTAGCAGATGTAGATATGCATGCATGCAGAGGTAGCGGATGTAGATGTGCATGCAGAGGTAGCAGATGTAGATATGCAGGCGGAGGTGGCGGATGTAGATGTGCATGGAATGGTAGCGAGGATGTAGATGTGCGCATGCAGAGGTAGCGGATGTAGATGTGCATGGAGAGGTAGCAGATGTAGATATGCATGCAGAGGTAGAGGATGTACATGTGCATGGAGAAGAAGCAGATGTAGTAGTGCTTGCAGAGGTAGCGGATGTAGATGTGCATGCAGAGGTAGACAATGTACATGTGCATGGAGAAGTAGCAGATGTAGATATGCATGCAGAGGTAGCGGATGTAGATGTGCATGCAGAGGTATGGCAGATGTAGATATGCAGGCAGAGGTATGGATGTAGATGTGCATGGAATGGTAGCGGATGTAGATGTGCATGCAGAGGTAGCGGATGTAGATGTGCATGGAGAGGTAGCAGATGTAGATGTGCATGGAGAGGTAGCAGATGTAGAAGTGCATGCAGAGGTAGCAGATGTAGATGTGCATGGAGAGGTAGCAGATGTAGTAGTGCATGCAGAGGTAGCAGATGTAGAATATGCATGCAGAGGTAGAGGATGTACATGCATGGAGAGGTAGCAGATGTAGATGTGCATGGAGAGGTAGCAGATGTAGATGTGCATGGAGAGTGCTTGTGGATGCAGATGTGCATGGAGAGGTAGCAGATGTAGATATGCATGCAGGATGTACATGTGCATGGAGAAAAAGAAGCAGATGTAGAGGCAGCAGAGATGCAGAACATGCATGTGCATGGAGAAGTAGCAGATGTAGATATGCATGTAGCGGATGTAGAGGCATGCAGAGGTGTGAGAGTAGATATGCACAAAGGAAGGTATGGATGTAGATGTGCATGCAGAAGGTAGAGATGTAGATGTGCATGGAGAGGTAGCAGATGTAGATGTGCATGGAGAGATAGCGGATGCAGATGTGCATGGAGAGGTAGCAGATGTAGATATGCATGCAGAGGTAGAGGATGTACATGTGCATGGAGAAGAAGCAGATGTAGTAGTGCTTGCAGAGGTAGCGGATGTAGATGTGCATGCAGAGGTAGACAATGTACATGTGCATGGAGAAGTAGCAGATGTAGATATGCATGCAGAGGTAGTGGATGTAGATGTGCATGCAGAGGTAGCAGATGTAGATATGCAGGCAGAGGTAGCGGATGTAGATGTGCATGGAATGGTAGCGGATGTAGATGTGCATGCAGAGGTAGCGGATGTAGATGTGCATGGAGAGGTAGCAGATGTAGATGTGCATGGAGAGGTAGCAGATGTAGAAGTGCATGCAGAGGTAGCAGATGTAAATGTGCATGGAGAGGTAGCAGATGTAGTAGTGCATGCAGAGGTAGCAGATGTAGATATGCATGCAGAGGTAGAGGATGTACATGCGCATGGAGAGGTAGCAGATGTAGATGTGCATGGAGAGGTAGCAGATGTAGATGTGCATGGAGAGGTAGCGGATGCAGATGTGCATGGAGAGGTAGCAGATGTAGATATGCATGCAGAGGTAGAGGATGTACATGTGCATGGAGAAGTAGCAGATGTAGTAGTGCTTGCAGAGGTAGCGGATGTAGATGTGCATGCAGAGGTAGACAATGTACATGTGCATGGAGAAGTAGCAGATGTAGATATGCATGCAGAGGTAGCGGATGTAGATAGTAGCGGATGTAGATGTGCATGCAGAGAGTAGCAGATGTAGATATCCATGCAGAGGTGTGGATGGATATACATGTGCATGGAGAGGTAGCAGATGTACATGTGCATGGAGAGGTAGCAGATGTAGATATGCATGTAGAGGTAGAGGATGTACATGTGCATGGAGAAGTAGCAGATGTACATGTGCATGGGGAAGTAGCAGATGTAGATATGCATGGAGGGGTAGCGGATGTAGATGTGCATGGAGAGGTAGCAGATGTAGTAGTGCTTGCAGAGGTAGCGGATGTAGATGTGCATGGAGAGGTAGTGGATGTAGATGTGCATGCATAGGTAGCGGATGTAGATGTGCATGGAGGGGTAGCGGATGTAGATGTGCATGGAGAGGTAGCAGATGTAGTAGTGCATGCAGAGGTAGCAGATGTAGATGTGCATGGAGGGGTAGCAGATGTAGATGTGCATGCAGATGTAGTGGATGTAGATGTGCATGGAGGGTAGCAGATGTAGATGTGCATGGAGGGTAGCAGATGTAGATGTGCATGCAGAGGTAGCGGATGTAGATGTGCATGCATGGAGTGCATGTAGATGTGCATGCAAGAGATGTAGAAAGAGATGTGGATGCATGGAGAGGTAGAGGATGTAGATGTGCATGGAGCATGGAGATGTAGATGTGCATAGATGTAGAGATGTAGATGTGCATGGAGAGGTAGCGGATGTGGATGTAAGTAGCGGATGTAGATGTGCATAGAGAGGTAGCAGATGCAGATATGCATGAAGAGGCAATTGTTTGATCGGCTTTCTAGAAGTTGGCGAAGCGTACAACTTTATGGATGACAACAGCTTGTAAGATTCTACATAGAAACGTCGCTCTATGCAATAAACAAGAAGTTATTACATGTATCCATAAAGTTGTATGCTTCATGCAGAGGTATCAGGTGTAGATGTACATGCAGAGGTAGCAGATGTAGTAACCCATGCAGATGTAGTGGTCCATGCAGATGTAGCAGATGTAGTGGTCCGTGCAGATGCAGATGTAGTGGTCCATGCAGAGGTAGCATATGTAGTGGTCCATGCAGATGTAGTGGTCCATACAGACGTAGCAGATGTAGTAATGCATAGAGATGTAGCAGATGTAGATGTGCATGCAGAGGAAACAGATGTCGTGATCCATGCAGATGTAGTGGTTCATGCAGATGGAGATTTGCATGCAGAGATAGTGGATGCAATAGTGCATGCTGAGGTAGTAGATGTGGTGCCAGATCGAATTTTAGCAAGTGTCGAACTAATACATGTAGTAAACGTAGACTGACTGAGTATGGTTTTACGCCGCTTTTAGCAATATTCCAGCAATAACACGGCGGGGGACACCAGAAATGGGCTTCACGCATTGTACCCATGTGGGGATTCGAACCCGGGTCTTCGGGGTGACGAGCGACCGCTTTAACCACTAGGCTACCCCACCACCCCAGTAAGCGTAAATATTGGGGTAGTACTATATGCAGAAGAAGCAACCGAAGATGTAGTAGTTTATGTAGTAGTATATGCAGTAGTCGTTTATGCAGTAATAGCAGCAGATGTAGTAGTGCATGCAGTGATAGCGTAAATGCAGTATTAAAATTAAAACTACTATTGGTACATGTGGTAGTAGTAGTGGTGGTGGTAGTTGTAATAGCAGTTGATGTAGCAGTAGCATTATACGCTGGAGTACCAGAAGATGTGGTATTAGAAGTAGGGCGGAGGGAGTAGTAGTAGTAGTAGTAGTAGTAGTAGTAGTAGTAGTAGTAGTAGTAGTAGTAGTAGTAGCAGCAGCAGCAGCAGCAGTAGCAACAGCAGATATAGGTATAGGTTTGAGAGAAAAGGATGGGGTGCATTTTGCAGTGTGACCCCACTTGTAGTGGTTGTCGCAGTAGTGGAAGATACTGTAGTACCTGTTGCTTAGGTAACCTGAAAACAGTCAGTAGTTCGATATCATATATAGCGTTTGAGCGTTTGAGGGGCAAGGGCGGATGGGGTAGGGGTGGGAAGAGCGATGAGGAGGTGGGGGGGGGGAAGACGGTAGACACGGCAGACGGAGAGAGAAGGAGACAGTCTTGATGACGACAAGATATGACCACGGATGAATGCAATTGTCCTGAAAACGAAGTAAGGTCACGATTTAGCCACCTGGTCCCATCCTATTGTGAAGGTCCCTTTTGTGCGCTATGCATCTGCTAAGTGCTATTCTAGGAGTGAATTACTGATTTTAAGACAAAGCGTTGCACACTGCATGAGGGGCCTATCACGGAGACATTGTTCCTCTTACCCAGATGTTACAACCAAGTCTATTTCTGGGCGGAGAGCCCCTCAGCAGATCAAATTGGCCAATCTCTTTCAGAAATCGCAAACCTGGTCAGGCCTTTATTGAAAGCTAACGCGAGCTGTGGTGCATATATTGATTCGCATAGTGCCAGCTGTTAGTTTGGCTGAATTAACGATTTCAAAGGCCCGATATAAAGTGCCACCCTGATGCGAAAATCGAAACGCACGGACGTCGGAGAAGTTACCAGGGGACCTGAGGTCACGAGGGATAATGATATGCGCGCGCAGCGACACAGGTGGTGCAAATGTTGTTAAAGACATCAGCGTTCAGGTCTTGTAGTTATTCATTCCTGACAAGTAATGACAGCCCCGTGGAGACCCATTCATAAGTATCACAAAGATGCAATTGCATAGCATTCTCTACATATTTAAACATGGTATTTAATACTTGGGCGATGCTTTTCAGAAGTGTCCTGAAAATATGAAGTCTTCAATTGATTATATTAACGATTGTGTGGTTAATTTGTTAAATTGCACCGGGGTATTTACACATATAGTTTTATGTTTGATACTGTCATCAATGAATAAAGTTTCCCTGTGAATCGATGAATATTTTAGCAAACAAGCCTGGGCGATTGCAGTCTCCAACTAGTGTCCAGTTCATAAAAACAATGCAAGGCCAACATCATGTGGGTGCATGGATTAATAGCGCATCATTATCGAAACAGAATGTTTCGGACTGACATTCCACTTTTTTAAAATTAAATGACTGGAAACTAAAATTTTGATAATCATGTCAACCTGGTTGGCGATTTTTGTATTCCCGTTCGTGAGATACAATATATTTATGATGGTGCTGATGTAGTCAGGATATAGAGCAGGTGTCTGCAACTCGGGAAATAGCCCAGGCTGCAAGGTAGGGTGGAAGAATTGCACCATGGTGTTTCAGCTATATTTGGGAGGATGTGGTGCCTGATTTGGTTTGGTTGTTGTTTAACACCGCGCTCAGTAATATTCAAGCTATATATAGACCAGGGGCGGTGGGGTAGCCTAATGGTTTAAGCGTTGGCTCGTCACACCGAAGACCCGGGTTCGAATCCCCACATGGGCATAATGTAAAGCCCATATCTGGTGTCCCCCGCCGTGATGTTGCTGGAATATTGCTAAAAGCGGCGTAAAACCAAACTCAGTCAGTCAGTCATATATAGACCAGAGAATCCAGCGATCAACATCATGAGCATCGATCTCCGCAATTGGGATACGATGACATGTGTCAACCAAGTCAGCTAGCCTGACCACCCTATCCCGTTAGCCGCTTCTTACGACAAGCATGGGTTGTTGAAGACCAATTCTAACCCGGATCTTCACATATGCGATGCCTGAAGACGTTCAGCACTTCAGAGAAGCCCTCAAGCACGGGAATATTGCTGAACATCCAAGAAACATAACTAGGACAATTATGGACATATACATATTTGATATATTGATATACACCACGAACGCAGTCAGCGACATCTGCGACTGACGTGGGACACATTCTGATTAGTATGAATTACTACTAATTTGAGACTGCTTGCGAAAACACAACTCGCACGAAAAATATTCAAAACCGCTATCACATGTCAGTTTACGCGCTGGCGTAAGAACGTAGTTAAATCGGTGGCAGCATAAAAAGGAAGTCATTGATTAGGCTGAAAGGAACATTTGGCTAAGAATCCCATACTATCTCTCAGCATTAAGACAGACTAATTAAGTGTTTGCCGACCAGAAGAATAACAAATCATGCACATATAGTTTTTAATCATTATGAATACATTATCGCAGGTTAGACATTGTCAAGCTGTACGATTTCCCCCTCTAACCCCACCACCACACCACGATGGAAACGTTGTTCAAGAAACATAGTGCAAAAATTGTACGAATCAATAGTAGTTACAGGCTTTCGACATCAAAGTAAGCAAACATCTTTTGTCAGCAGTTGCAGACGCTGGCATTTAAAAGCCCCATTCTGTTCCGTGACATTAGACGCAATAAATGAAAAATAATCGACTAAATAATGATTGTCCTGGTATCAGGCGCTCGCCTGCCACCTGTCTCTTGCACGTGCACATCTGTGTTCATTATCTTGCGCTCGGCTCGATCAATGAGCCGCCGCGCGACCCGTCAGATGTTAGATCACTCCGCAACAATCAATACGCATCACACACTCAATGATTCCTCGTCGTTGTACTCCAAAAAACGTAGTCCGTTAGTAACAAGCTCGTATTAAGGTTGCCGAAAATAACATGTAACGTTTACGACAGTTGTTGAGATCGTCTTTACTCAAAGATGACTGATTAGAGGAATTTGAATTATTGTTACTTTTTTGCCGTAGTATTGGTGAATACTACACAAGTCCAACTTTTGCACATATATTTTAAACTGTATTATGCTGTTTATAAAGAGGAAGAGATGGGGTGTTTGTATCCCATCATTTAACCATACAGCGTACGATTGGTCAAAACCTTATTGAACAAAATAAATTGAAGTGTGAAAAATTGGTATTCATGGCGACACATTGTTGCTAAGCAACTGCCGGGAAAACTATTCTGTTACGCCATTGCGCTTGTTTTCTACATTTTAAAACCCCATCTTTATAAATAATGAAAAATATCGTTGTATATCGTATTCTTTTTGACTTACACGCATTCTTTCTTGATTCAACCCAAAATGGGTAGGTCCGACTAAACTAAGGATCGTCTGGTTTCAATGGCGTTTTATACAATAGTTTGATAGTTGGTACAATTTCCTTTTCAGCTATGGGCTGTTTGATTAGACACATCACTCAACTGACCTTGGACCCTTTTCCCCAAAATAAACAGATTTTAAAAGTTCAAAGTCTGTGTTAAAGACTTGGAGTGAAGACAGTTAATCAACATTTAGACATCGTTATATTATCACTACATGCAAAATTACTACTAAGAGCAGTACAGTTCCTAGTATTAGTAGTTTCAGTCTTAACAGTAGCAGTAGTAGTAGTAGTAGTAGTAGTAGTAGTAGTAGTAGCAGCAGTAGTAGTAGTAGTGAAGTAGTGGTGGTAGTCCGTAGTAGTAGTAGTAGTAGTAGTAGTAGTAGTAGTAGTAGTAGTAGTAGTAGTAGCAGCATTAGTAGTATGAAGAATTGTAGTAGTAGTAGTAGTAGTAGTAGTAGAA